GGGGGGGGGGCGATTTTTCCGTATGTCGTGTCTCGTACGTTTCTCTCCGTCTCATCGGTCGATACAAATTTCCCCGCCGCCGTAAAAACGAGAAAACGTGCGCTCGCTTGCTCATGCGTCGTCCAGAATTGCGTATCGCCGCGGCTACGTGACGCGTCGTGGCTTTTCTAGATACGCACTTGCTGCTCCCCAGCGCGCGCGCGCGCGCCCATCTCCGTCGACGGAGCCTGAAAGTGCGCTCGCTCGCACGCACGCATTCACTCGTCGACGCCATCATACGCATCGATCAGTAATATTTCGTTGTACATCGCGCGCGCGTTCCTCAGCGCCCCGCGGCTGCTTGCTGCGCGCGAGTGCCCGCTCGCTCGGCGGGCTGGTTACACCTTTCTCTCGGCGGATTCTGGAGATTTTATAATTCGTCGGGAGATACCTGCCATGCTCGAAATTGCAACGAAACGCTTTTCCGCGTGATCCGAGACACAGACTCCATTCTCGTCGGTGTCGGTCAGCGTATATGCGATGAAAGGACGTTCCCTGTGTCCTATCTCCTCCTCTCCTTCTCCTCTTTCTCCTTTCGTATCTCCTCCTCGAGACTCCTATAATTCGCGCTCGTTACGAAAGATCGGAAATCGGAATTTAAGCGCAGGGTAGGGAGAAAAGATGAAGGAAAAAAGGGAGAAAAGAAAGGGGGGGGGGGAGAAGAAAAAAGCGCACGCTCTCTTCGTCTTGTTCTGTGACGAAGCGGCGGCAGCGTCACTTCGTGTCGTTGACACGTACGTGTCGTAATACACGTACACGTAATACGCGGCTCAAGCCCAGCGATGCAGCGCAACATCGCGACGTTTCAGCCCGATATAGCCCTTTCGAGTATACGGGAATGCGATTTTTTTCGATAACGCGTTGTGATCTACGTCGCAACGAAATTCTTTCTACGTTCGATTTGTGCGCGCTGCTGCAAAAGGCTATTAAATTATTATTACGAAATATCGTTGCACTGTTTTTTGTTGTTGAAATTTTTGCGATTTCAACGTAGCGTTATTTCCAGCCTTTAGAGGCCGTCCGAATGCGTATTATCGATTACAGCGAGCATCTGTCCACCGGAAACAATGACAATGTCTTGCGTTACATCATACCTTATCCATAAATTAACACCGAGCGATTAGTGCCACTTCGCTCGATTATTTTTTCTAGTTTTATTTCGATGACACGCGCATACATTTGTATCGCTGGATATGTATATTCGAACGATTGCATTTCTTTTCAGCGTCTACACTCATCACGGGAATATTGCAAAACTACTTCGCGAAAATTTGGCGAAGAAAATCGTGTCTGGACATGTCGAATTTTCCCGGGAAAAATATCGCTCGCGCGCGACAATCCGAAGTAAATCGCTCGTAAAAGTTGTTTTTACGAGCGACATTTTATCACCGCTGAATATTGAACGTAAAAACGATTCGAGAGTGTCTCGAGCGGTGAATTTCCCTAAAATTCCGGCGTGTTACCGACCTCCCGAACAAAGGAAAGAACTTACTCTTATCGATTTTCTCTTAAGTGCCTGGCACGGTAGCAACAAAGAATCATGATACAACGTGTTGTTCCTCATTAGTCGCTCAGCGAAGAATTCCGACTCGAAATTTTCATCGTTTAATTGAGAAATTTAATCGCTCGAGTCGGCGAGAATCGGTGTCAGCCGTTGAGTGAATCTTTCGTACTCGCATAATTACATCTGCCCTTTTATCGGCACTCAGACTTACCTCGCCACAATCAATCACGAGACGTTTCGATTGCGAACAGGTGTCCATATCTGCACCGTACCGCGGGGGATACGGAGAGGCGTTACCATCTGCGTTACTACAAGACATGTATGTGCGTTCACGACACCGATACGCGTGGGTTTTGCGTGAAAAATGGGCCGCACTGCGCTTTCGCTCACGGCAATCACGATCTGCGTCCGCCGGTGTACGACATCAAGGAGATCCAGGCGCTGGAGAATCCCGATTCGGACCCGAACTCCTCGTCCAACGGGCCTAACGTACTCGACAAGGAGCGCAACCTGATGAACGAGGACCCGAAGTGGCAGGACACGAATTACGTGCTGAGCAATTACAAGACCGAGTCGTGCAAGAGACCGCCGAGATTGTGCCGGCAGGGTTACGCTTGCCCGCAGTTTCACAACAACAAGGATAAGAGGCGCAGCCCGCGGAAATACAAATATCGGTAAAAAAAACCCTTCAGTCGCTGAGTACGTATTCTTAGAAAATCGGAATGAGAAAGTTTCATATCCTCCGGTACTGGGATTGCAGTTCGACGCCGTGTCCGAATGTGAAGCACGGTGAGGAATGGGGTGAGCCGGGTAACTGCGAGCAAGGAGACGGATGTACGTACTGCCACACGCGTACCGAGCAGCAATTCCACCCCGAGATTTACAAGTCGACGAAATGCAACGACGTGCAACAGGCCGGCTATTGCCCGCGCGGAGTCTTCTGTGCCTTCGCACACGTTGACCGTGAGTGTACACTCATCAATCGTACGTAAAACAGTCTATTATTTATACACGTGTCTCTTTGTGAGTTTAGCGATATAGCGATGATATAAACACGTATACGTGCTCTCTCTCTATCTGGCCTGTCTCTGTGACCCTAACTGCTCGGTAACAGAGCGAAGTTAATCTGTCTTCCTTCTCAGCGGCGTAAGTTCGCAACGCTAATTGCACGCTCTTGCCGATCGGGCCGCGATTCTCTCGCGATCTCTCTATACACCGGCCTCTACTCGCGAACACAATTGTTCGGAACACGCGACGTACACACGACACATGGCCGGTTTGATGATAAATCTAGTTCGTCAAAATTGTTTCTCAAAATTGATATATATTGGGACATTGGTTATGGTGTGTTGACGGAGCAGTGTTGCCAACAGAAGAAATGAGCCTGGCGAGGGATATGGCGGTACCTATAGATTGCGGCGCGAATCTGGCCGAGATACTCAGCAACGCTCTACCACCCGACAAGCGTGCTCACGACAAGGATAAGCCGCTCAGCGACAGCAGCGTGAGTTAAATTAGACATCACATTTCAATTTACTTGAAACTCTTCACATTGGCTCGCGCGCGCTTCAATGACCCGGTGCTGGAAATTATGTTGCAGAACGGAAGCGGTGAGGTTTCGGAATCTGCCAGCACTAGTAGTTTGGGTAGCAACAGTTCACACAGTAAGGCTCCCGGTGCTCAACTACACAATTCCAATACCAATTCCAGTATAAATACGGCGACTCAGCAAAAAATCACTAGTATACTCTATAACCCCAATTCTCTTATACAAGTTGTAAGTTTCCTGTTCTTCCTACGTTAAATTATCGATTATTTTATATATATATATATATTGCGACAACGATCAATTTCGGCTGACGCATCGATTCTAACAGAATGAAATCCGAAAGCAAATGGTTGCCATTGATAGCGATCCGCTGTTGACGAAATCCGAAAAAGCTCAGCAGAAACAGAGCCTCTACATCGCGTACAATTTGAACGGAACATTAGGCAGTCATTCGTTAGCGACCGCTGTCTCGCCGCTTTCAAATTCGTTCTACTCAAACGACACCGTTGAATCTGTAGTAGGTAAGTAAGCCTTTTCACGCAACGTCTAACATATGGGATTAAAATTGATCTGCGTTTTTTTTTTTCCAGGGAATGCGTTGGACGAGTTACATCTAGACGATCCTTTAAATTTAGTCGAATCAATTCATAGGGATACAAATTCACCGATCGGCAATTCAATATCGGCGGGCCTAGCTAGCTCCGGTCTACTCGGTAGCTCAGCCCCGGTCAATATACCGGGAATGGCGGAACGTTCGGTTCTAACGAACTTTTCGCCGTCGACATCCAGCCCGTTGCAGCAATTGCAAACAGCTAGTTTTCTCACCGGGTCCAGATTCTCTCATCAAGATTCCATAGAATCCGTAAGCCCCTTTTCTATCCTTCAATTGAACTTTATACCTGTGAGAGACAGTCGAATTATTTTACTGACCAATTTCTTTTCGGGGATTTCTGTATTTTCAGACAATGCCATTTATGAATCAGATATCAGATCCATTTAGTAATCACATTTCGCAACTTAGCAGCTCAGCTTCTAAGCTTAGTGGATTTAATAGTAGTTTATTTGATTTTGCGAGCCAAGGAATGTCCCCGTCTCGTACGCAACCACTACCAGCATCTCCATTGGTCAATGCATTTTCCATTAGTCCGAGTAATACAGGATCGTTGTCCGAGGTTAGAGCTTGCACGATGTTAAAGGATGTTTCTCATATATCGCTAAGTGCGCTTCGCCGCAGAGTCGGTCGTAAAATATGCATGCGCTGTTACGTAGGTACAAAGGCTCAGAGAGGAATTGACATCGAGTCGCGCCCAGTTGGCGACATGGGACGAACGTATTAATCAAGCGCGCGCAGCTTGCGCGGCGTGGCAATTGGAGAGCGAGGAGGCAAAAAGGAAAGCCACCATCGCCGAACAGCAGAGGGACGAGGTAAATATCCTGCCTTATAGGACCGCGGGTTACCTCTCTTCTCGTGATATCGAAATCCAATTTAGCGATTTATTCCAGAATATGGATTCTTTGCAGGCTCTGATGCAAGTGAAAGCGCTTAGGGTCGAAAACGAGGCGTCCAGCGGCGGTCCGTATCTCCATACGGTGAGACGCATAAGTGAGCTCAGATCGCTATCAATAGCTACCTTGAAATCAATTCAATCGCAATTACGCTCAGATCTCGAGGAGGTAGAAAAGGTAAGGTGGTCACGCGTGATCTGATTTGGTAGCCGATATAAAAGATTCAATTTCGTACAATTTTATGTTTTCGCATGCAATAACGCTAATTGCGTCCTGAAATTTCTAATTTTAGGTACTGTATAGGGAAACAGCAACAAAATGTATGGTTTGTGAAGAACAGAATCGTACAGTTACTCTATCACCGTGTAATCATTACGTAGTCTGCTCAACGTGTGCTCCAAATCAACGCGAGTGCCCGTACTGCCAGACACCGGTCGCATCGACAAGTTAGGCCCAAATCTTTTCTCTTAGAATCCCGTTGTTACATTTCCCGCTTCTCTCGTCATTTTAAAACAACCAGTCACTGTCTCTGAAAATATCATGTGAGTAGTATCACAATTTTGCAAAGACTTATATATATATATATATATTTTTTTTTTAGTGTATTTTGAACAGAATGTGTTTTTTTATTACCGCGATCATCAAAAAATCGTAGTAATAAATCTTAAGGGATTACAAGATTGAATTATCGCCAAAGTATCGAAAAAAAAAGTAGGAATTCAAGCGTAATCTTACGCATCGTATATTATATTGACATTTCCCTTATAATGTATACCAAGTTGTGCGAATAATGTCACACTTTTTAATCTAAAAAAAAGAGCAGCAAGTTATCAATCCTAAAAGCAAAAAAAATATTTTATTTTATACATAATTCAAGAAGAAACACATTTAGCAGGATGTTAACTATAATACAGTTAGCATTTGCAATGTTCACGCGTACGCGTGATTGCAGAACATTTAGCGTGAAAAAAAAACGATATAATCACAGTTATAAACAAAGTTTTGGGACCTCGAGAATTATATAATTGTTTAAAGAAATTAATACTAATAATATTAATGAACGCAACAGAAGAACGCAAGTCTCTCCCAATTTGCATTGATAATGGGAGGATCATTTCTCAATGGTGAGCTGTGAAACGTATGTCACAGAGATGATTATTTGTATTTAAAATCTTATATATTTAATAGGATTTTCTCCAATTGATTCGCGTATCCGCGCGTACTGAATGTAATAATATAAGTATTAACAAATTTTATATTTTTCGTTGAGAACCTAATATTGAAAATATAGATATTATATGAGGCATATATATATATATATATATAAAATATATATAATTTCTAGGTTTTTATATCGAATAACAAAGATTTCTCATAATTATTATAAATATATACACATATATATACAATTTTATATATAATTATATATATAAAATTATATGTAATTATATATATCTATATATA